CCTGCCCCTGTGACTTCTGTGAGTGGTTTTCAGTATTATCTGTTGTTAGTAGATAATTACGCCAGATATAGCTGGTTCTTTCCATTAAGAAGAAAATCTGAGGCATTTTCTACCTTTGTAAATTTCAAGAACTATGTGGAAAAATCTGTTGGCAATCAAATAAAGACTATACGTTCTAATTCAGGGGGTGAGTTCACTAGTGCTTCTTTTCAGTCTTATCTCCATTTGAATGGCATTTCTCATCAGTACAGCTGCCCACATACACCTGAACAGAATGGATGTGTAGAACGTAAGCATCGACATCTTGTAGAAACAGCACGAACACTGTTAGTAGCTTCTCAAGTCCCTTCAGTTTATTGGGTTGAAGCCTTCTCCACTGCCATTTACTTGATCAACAGGTTACCCATTTCTGGTCTTCTAAAATCTCCATGGGAGTTACTATTTCACACACTCCCTGACTACACTCGTCTACGGATCTTTGGGTGTAGTTGCTTCCCATGGTTAAAACCTTATGTTCACTCTAAACTTGATGGCAAAAGCAAGCAGTGTATTTTTCTTGGGTACAGCTTACAACATAAGGGTTATAGGTGCTTAGACACAGCCACTGCCCGAGTTTACATCTCTCGGCATGTTCAATTTGATGAGAACTCATTTCCCTTCACTACCAAGACATCTTCATTCTCTCCTTCTACCCTTCCTATCTCTCCTACCTTTGATCTACATTTTCCTATTTCTACCCTAAACTCTGCTCCAACATGCTCTCCTCCTATCAACCCTATTACCCCTGCTTCCTCTCCTATTGCTCCTGTCTCCCAAGTCCCTATCCAATCTCCATCACCTTCTCCACCTTTGCCAAGTCATAACACACATCCAATGGTCACTCGATCGAAAAATGGTATTTTTAAGCCTCGGGCCTACAATGCTACCAAACATCCCCTCTCATCCTCTATTGATTATATCCCCACAACTTACAATCAAGCTTCTAAGTTTGCTGAGTGGAGAACTGCAATGCAGGCCGAGTTTAATGCCCTCCAATCCACTGGTACATGGATCTTGGTTCTTTCTTCTTCCAATCAGAATATTGTTGGCTGTAAATGGGTATTTAGAATCAAAAAGAAGCCTGATGGCACAGTTGACAGGTATAAAGCCCGGCTTGTTGCCAAGGGATTTCACCAACAAGAGGGTCTAGACTATCAAGAGACATTCAGTCATGTCGCAAAGCCTGTCACCATTCGCATACTGTTAACCTTTGCTGTCCAGTTTAATTGGTTTCTTCATCAACTCGATATTAGCAATGCTTTTCTTCATGGTGATTTAAAGGAAGAAGTCTTCATGCATCAGCCACCTGGTTTCAGTGATCCAAACTATCCAAATCATGTGTGTAAATTGAAAAAGTCCCTATATGGACTCAAACAGGCCCCACGGGCATGGTTTGATAAGTTGTTTCAGTCTCTTCAGTCTCTCGGCTTTACTCAGTCCTCCTCTGATGCATCTCTCTTTGTTCTCCAGGCTCCAGTTCTTGTGGTTGTACTTGTCTATGTAGACGATATATTGGTCAGTGGTCCGGATTCTTCAGCTTGCCATCTGTTCATTCAGAAGCTAAGTTCTTTGTTTCCTGTCAAAGACTTAGGTCCCTTATATTACTTCTTGGGACTTGAAGTCCAACGCACCACAGAAGGATTATTTTTACATCAAGGGAAATATTTGTTGGACCTTTTGCACAAGACAAAAATAGAGGGTGCTAAGCCTTGTTCGACACCTCTTCGTACTGTCAAACTGGATCACAGTGGTACACCTTTGGCAAATCCAACCGAGTATTGATCCATTGTGGGAGGTCTTCAGTATCTCACTTGGACTCGGCCTGATATCTCCTTTGCAGTCAACCAAGTATGCCAATTTATGTATACTCCTACTGACTTACATCTGCAAGTAGCCAAGAGAATTTTGCGCTTTCTTAAAGGTACATCTTCTCATGGCATCTGGTTTCTTAAGGGTCCTCTTACTCTATCAGCATACTCTGATGCAGACTGGGCTGGCTGCCCATTTGATAGACGATCCACGAGTGGATTTTGTGTGTATCTTGGCTCCAATTTAGTCAGCTGGAGTGCTAAAAAGCAGTCTACAGTAGCTCGTTCTTCTACTGAGGCTGAATATCGGTCTCTTGCTCACACTGCCGCTGAAATTACCTGGATCTGCAAGGTTTTCAGAGATTTTGGTTTCCCCTTCACGCTCCAACCGACCATCTGGTGCGACAACATCTCTGCCATTTCACTTGCATCTAACCCTGTTTTTCATGCCCGAACTAAACACGTGGAAATTGATTACCACTATATCAGGGAGCTGGTCCTTGCCAATCTAGTTAAAATTCAATATGTCTGTAGTCAGGATCAGATCGCAGATATTCACACCAAATCTCTGTCTAAACATCGGTTTCTCTTCCTTCAATCCAAGCTCTCTCTTGGAACTCCTAGTCTTTCCAAGCTCAGCTTGAGGGGGTGTAAAGATAAAGATGCCAAGTCATAACAGTTCATATAATTTTAGTTAGAAAATCATTCTTGTCATATGTTTACAGGCTGTCATAGATGTAATAATACAGATGTAATAATACAGTTATAACAAGAATGATTTTCTAACTAAAATTATATGAGCTGTTATGACTTGGCATCTTTATCTTTACACCCCCTCAAGCTAAGCTTGGAAAGACTAGGAGTTCCAAGAGAGAGCTTGGATTGAAGGAAAAGAAACCGATGTTTAGACAGAGATTTGGTGTGAATATCTGCGATCTGATCCTGACTACAGACATACTGAATTTTAACCAGATTGGCAAGGACCAGCTCCCTGATATAGTGGTAATCGATTTCCACGTGATTAGTTCGGGCATGAAAAACAGGGTTGGATGCAAGTGAAATGCAAGAGATGTTGTCGCACCAGATGGTAGGTTGGAGCGTGAAGGGGAAACCAAAATCTCTGAAAACCTTGCAGATCCAGGTAATTTCAGCGGCAGTGTGAGCAAGAGACCGATATTCAGCCTCAGTAGAAGAACGAGCTACTGTAGACTGCTTTTTAGCACTCCAGCTGACTAAATTGGAGCCAAGATACACACAAAATCCACTCGTGGATCGTCTATCAAATGGGCAGCCAGCCCAGTCTGCATCAGAGTATGCTGATAGAGTAAGAGAACCCTTAAGAAACCAGATGCCATGAGAAGATGTACCTCTGAGAAAGCGCAAAATTCTCTTGGCTGCTTGCAGATGTAAGTCAGTAGGAGTATGCATAAATTGGCATACTTGGTTGACTGCAAAGGAGATATCAGGCCAAGTCCAAGTGAGATACTGAAGACCTCCCACAATGGATCGATACTCGGTTGGATTTGCCAAAGGTGTACCACTGTGATCCAGTTTGACAGTACCAAGAGGTGTCGAACAAGGCTTAGCACCCTCCATTTTTGTCTTGTGCAAAAGGTCCAACAAATATTTCCCTTGATGTAAAAATAATCCTTCTGTGGTGCGTTGGACTTCAAGTCCCAAGAAGTAATGTAAGGGACCTAAGTCTTTGACAGGAAACAAAGAACTTAGCTTCTGAATGAACAGATGGCAGGCTGAAGAATCCGGACCACTGACCAATATATCGTCTACATAGACAAGTACAACCACAAAAACTGGAGCCTGGAGAACAAAGAGAGATGCATCAAAGGAGGACTGAGTAAAGCCGATAGACTGAAGAGACTGAAACAGCTTATCAAACCATGCCCGTGGGGCCTGTTTGAGTCCATATAGGGACTTTTTCAATTTACACACATGATTTGGATAGTTTGGATCACTAAAACCAAGTGGCTGATGCATGAAGACTTCTTCCTTTAAATCACCATGAAGAAAAACATTGCTAATATCGAGTTGATGAAGAAACCAATTAAACTGGACAGCAAAGGTTAACAGTATGCGAATGGTGACAGGCTTTGCGACAGGACTGAATGTCTCTTGATAGTCTAGACCCTCTTGTTGGTGAAATCCCTTGGCAATAAGCCGGGCTTTATACCTGTCAACTGTGCCATCAGGCTTCTTTTTTATTCTAAATACCCATTTACAGCCAACAATATTCTGATTGGAAGAAGAAGGAACCAAGATCCATGTACCAGTGGATTGGAGGGCATTAAATTCGGCCTGCATTGCAGTTCTCCACTCAGCAAACTTAGAAGCTTGATTGTAAGTTGTGGGGATATAATCAATAGAGGATGAGAGGAGATGTTTGGTAGCATTGTAGGCCCGAGGCTTAAAAATACCATTTTTCGATCGAGTGACCATTGGATGTGTGTTATGACTTGGCAAAGGTGGAGAAGGTGATGGAGATTGGATCGGGACTTGGGAGACAGGAGCACTAGGAGAGGAAGCAGGGGTAATAGGGTTGATAGGAGGAAAGCATGTTGGAGCAGAGTTTAGGGTAGAAATAGGAAAATGTAGATCAAAGGTAGGAGAGATAGGAAGGGTAGAAGGAGAGAATGAAGATGTCTTGGTAGTGAAGGGAAATGAGTTCTCATCAAATTGAACATGCCGAGAGATGTAAACTCGGGCAGTGGCTGTGTCTAAGCACCTATAACCCTTATGTTGTAAGCTGTACCCAAGAAAAACACACTGCTTGCTTTTGCCATCAAGTTTAGAGTGAACATAAGGTTTTAACCATGGGAAGCAACTACACCCAAAGATCCGTAGACGAGTGTAGTCAGGGAGTGTGTGAAATAGTAACTCCCAAAGAGATTTTAGAAGACCAGAAATGGGTAACCTGTTGATCAAGTAAATGGCAGTGGAGAAGGCTTCAACCCAATAAACTGAAGGGACTTGAGAAGCTACTAACAGTGTTCGTGCTGTTTCTACAAGATGTCGATGCTTGCGTTCTACACATCCATTCTGTTCAGGTGTATGTGGGCAACTGTACTGATGAGAAATGCCATTCAAATGGAGATAAGACTGAAAAGAACCACTAGTGAACTCACCCCCTGAATCAGAACGTATAGTCTTTATTTGATTTCCAACAGATTTTTCCACATAGGTCTTGAAATTTACAAAGGTAGAAAACACCTCAGATTTTCTTCTTAATGGAAAGAACCAGCTATATCTGGTGTAATCATCTACTAACAACAGATAATACTGAAAACCATTCACAGAAGTCACAGGGGCAGGTCCCCATACATCACAATGAATTAAAGCTAAACTATGAGGAGTTGATGACTTAGCAGGAGAAAATGACAGTTTATGATTCTTAGCAATGGCACAATCTGAGCAGAAGAAGTCAACGGAGGATTTACCATGCAGTGCAAGACGATTACTAGAGATTACTTTTCGAAAAATGGTAGAGGAGGGATGACCCAATCGACTGTGCCAAATCTTCACTGGAGCTTTAATACTGACGAATGCTGATGAAGAAACAGAAGAGATACCTCTGGAAGGAAAGCTTTGCAAAGGATAGGAGCCATCTCTAACTGGTCCCCGCAAAAGCATCTTCCCCGTAGAACGATCCTTTACAGAGGAACCATCAGAATCAAGGTCATACACTAGTCCACATCTTAGGTGCCTTAAACACCCTGACGACCTCAAAGTTTTGAGCAACATCCATGAAGAGACGTACGGCAACCATTTAGGTAAGATAACACTAGATCATAAGGCACTTTCCGCAAGTTATTACTGGCCAACCATGCGAGAAGTCGTGAATGAGTATGTACAAAAGTGGGATCTATGCCGATGCTACAAGTCGACCCCTATCTATGCCGGCAGAGACTCTACCCACAGCGGAGCCCTTGACCCTTCATGCAATAGGAAATCGACTTAGTAGGTCTTATGCCACCAGCTTCTAGAGGCTAAAAACATGTTAATCCAGGCAACTAACTACTTCACTAAAGGAGGGGACATTCAGAACTTCATCTGGAAGAACATAATTTCTTGCCAATGAAAGAAAGACATGTGTAAATTTATGTCCAAATGTCATCAATCATTAGGTACGGTACAGTAGGCCACGTATCGATTTACCCGTGATATGTATATTATTCTCCTAGCAAAAGAGAGCAACATGTATGAATTGGGTTCACCATCATGTAGCATCTTGTTCAAATATAATGTTGTGCCATATGCACATTTTACCTCACATAGTATGATACTATTGAAGCTAGACTCCATGTGATTGGTGAACCAATTCTATATAGTGTAATGCTAGAAAAACTAAATTTGTAGACAAAATTTGCAAACTAAATTATTTGTGACAAATGTAAATAAGCACGTTTATCAACTTCTAAGTAATAACTCAGTCATCAACTTCCACGTCATTTAGTTTTCAAAATTTTGTCTACAAATTTAATCTCCTTAGCATTATCCTTCTATATATGTCCTTCCTTCTCCTATAATTCAAGACATCTCTTTCAACTGTAATAAGTTATGGAAGCACAAATACGAAACCATGAAAGGTATTGCTTCTAACAGATAACAAGAAGAAGTGTTTCCTATTTCAGGCACCTTAGAGCGCTTGCCTATTTTAAACCTCTCCCATCTCGACTAAGCGAGGTTTCTTTATGAAACTAAAACAGCTACAAACAAGAGAGGCCGGTCTATTGCATCCGACTTTTTTTTATTATTATTATTTTTTCAGGATGGATTCCTTTTACTCTTGGGATTGCACACAAGTTGGCAATCCATCAGTATGACCAAGACTACAGTCTAGTAGTGTTATTATTATTCATTTATAAGTAAGAGGTCTTATACTTAACTCATGTGCATGAAAAATTCAATACCAACATCTTATGGCTAGTCTATTATGTGACTTAGCTCAAATTTCACCCTTAATATAACTATATCGTTGTAGAAAACAAAAAATAAAAAGGTAAAACATTAGTACCAACACCACTTGTAATGCTTATATATGGTATCTTTTTTAAAGAAATCCTAAGTGCTTTTATTGGTTTGTTTCATTGAATATGCATAGCCAAAATCTTTAGAAAGACCAGGGAGATCGCTTGTTATGGTATATCGTTACAAAAGAAGCTAAACCAAATCTCTAATTATGGTATAGCATCCCGAATAATAATTACCATTAATTCCCTTCTCTTTCCGTACTTCTCCTCCTCCTAAGCTTTTCCAAATCACTAGTTATATAATTCAGTCCTCTAGTCTAGTCTTAATATAATACTTGAAGTTAAGTTTTGTATGAGGGTATAACAGTATTCAAACATGTCCTACAAGGGTTTGTTCAATACCTTTGTTTTGTCAATTTTTTTGGTGTTAATCTTCAATATTCAACGTGGAGATTGCAAGGGTGAAGCCAGCTTTGGCTCTTCTACTTTTGTTCAAACAGAAGGAACCCGTTTTGTTATGAATGGGAAACCGTTTTACATAAACGGATTCAATGCATATTGGATGATGTACATGGCATCTGATCCGTCTACGAGGGACAAGGTCACTTCTGCCTTCCAACAAACCTCCAAGTATGGCATGAATGTTGCTAGAACTTGGGGTTTTAGCGATGGTGGTACGGACAGACCTCTTCAGACTTCTCCTGGTTCCTATAACGAGGACACTTTTAAGGTACGCGATAACTTAACATGCTAGATATATATACCTTGTGGGGGGTTTTGTTTTATGATTAATCGAGTTTTATTCCTTTTCGTCTTTCCTTAGTCATTGATGAATTGTGGGGTATGGTGGATCTTATACATGATAAAGTTGGTGATTACTTTTTATTTTTGTTTTTGGTAGGGTTTAGACTTTGTGATATCAGAAGCTAAAAAATTTGATGTATACGTGATACTGAGCTTTGTGAACAACTACAGCGACTTTGGGGGTAGAAAGCAATATGTGCAGTGGGCAAGAGACCGTGGCCAATCCATCAGCAGTGACGACGACTTCTATACCAACGCTGTCGTTAAAGGATACTATAAGGATCATATCCAGGTATAAAAAATCTATTTTGTTCACAACTAAGTAATTACACCCATTAATTATTTGCCTAATTAACCACTTCTCAATTCTCAATTATATATTTTTTTTCTATTCTTCTTCGTCTAATAGAGAAAAGACAATAGAAGGATCTCTCCGTATGGAATAGTACTAAAAGAATTTACTCTTTGTTTAACTTTGTAGGTTCAACTTAAAATCATTAATTAGAGCAAATTGTAGGGTTCCTCAACTTTAACTTAATTGGAGTAATGGCTCATGAACTAAAAATTCATTACCATTGGTCCCTAAACTCTTCAAAACATGCAGCTATAGTCATTTTCGTCAATTGCGTTAAAACTTCCGTCAAAATGAGAGTCTCATGCCACATATGTGAGACTGAATTAAGGGGCAAATATGAAAAACGAAATGAGAAAAATTGTAGCAGTTACCCCTCAACTTTAACCTTATTGGAGAAATTGTCACTCAACTTTAACCCAATTGGAGCAATGATCCCTCAACTTTAATCCAATTGTAGCAATGACCCTTCCAACATAACTCATTTTGACGGAATTCTAACTTAGTTAACAAAAAGGATCATAAATACACATTTTGATGAGTTAAGAAACCAATGGTCATGTATTGTCAGTTAATGGGTCATTGCTCCAATTGGGTTAAAATTGAGGGACCGTTGCTACAATTTTCCTCATTAAATTAATATATCATAGATAATTTTTCCTGGTTTTGCTAGTTAATCTTAACTATATATTAATAAAGGGAGCTACTAGACCTACCTCATTGTCTTATTTCTCCACCCACATTATAATCTCACCGACCTTAAAAATTAAAAACTTAAAATGTTATTTTCCCACCCACTTTTATTCCCCATAATAACCTTTAACATATGCATACATATGAAATTTTCATAATGCATCACATATGTGGTATTTCAACTGGCTCTCGTGCCAGGGTGTTGCTAATTCATTCCAAGCGTCCTAAAATGCATGCATCAATGAAACAAAAAATAAAAAGGAAAGGATTGTTTGATTTGCCTAAAGATTTTCATAGGTGAGTTTTGTGCTTCTCAACATATGTAAATTCAAATAAGCAATAAAAATAAGGATATTTTGCCAAATCCCTTTTGCTGATATTGAAGTCACAAGTATGCAAATTCAATTGGAAAACACTGAGATATCCAAATTCAAAAGTAAAACTTCAACGACATATATATGGTGCGGCAAATGCAAAAGACCCACGTACAAAATTATTCTTTTACCTTTTCAATAAAAATATAATCTTCTACCTCTTCCATAGAAACGTCACCTTCCACTTCTTCAACAAAAAAGTCATCTAAATCTTGTTTTTTTTTTTTTTTGGCTTCTTCTAGATGAAAAGAGATGGAAAGATGAGTTAGGGTTTAGGATAGACTAAGAGTGCAACCCAACCCTTTTTTTTAACTGCAAAAGAGGATAATTAATGTCCTTATAAGTCATTTTACAAATGAACAAATATGTAATTAAAATATTCAATAAAAGATGAGTGAAAAGATAAGACAATGGGGGTGGGAATAACATCACTCTTAATAAAACCCTATTTGTTAACCAAAACTCCAGCAAATTACCACTCTAGCCCTCTCACCAGAACTGAACAAAAATAAAAACCATGAACACTTTAGTAATTATGCCTAACACAAATTTTACTTTTTTTTTATACTAATATCACAGCCATGTAAATATAGCATATCCTATTTAAAATTTTAAAGATAAATAAATAAACCTCATTTTTCTCCTCCTCTTCCTCTCTCTCCATTCCCCAGGTTCTCCTACCTTTTCTTTATTTGTCTTTTTCTTTTTTGAATAGTGATCCGTGCTATTAATGAGAAGCTGTAGTAAAATATAAAAAAAACAAATTTAGTTGCACACGTGGAGAGTATGTGCCGATTGCTAGTTATATGTTACAAATTCACATCCACTATTATTACATTTAACAACCTAGTGATATATCTCTCCGCTATGTGGACGGTATTAGGTTCGACTCCCCAACCTATATAGCATGTTCAATACCAAATTACACCTGGCTTATTGTGAGACCTAACTCAAATACTACATACCCTAATATCTTTGTATCTCAAAAGAGAGCAAAGATTCACATGAATGCTATAATTATAATTATACTGGGTAGGTTTGAAATCTAATATAATATAAGTCGATGTTGACACGCCCCAACCCCGATATACCCAAATACCAGGATGGGCATGTGCTGGCCGACACTCGAGGGTGACGAAGCTATTTTAAATATGCAAACAATAAGATAAGTAATACAACTAATCAAGGAATACATGAAAGAATTACAATAAAATATATGAATAAAAGAGTGGTCCTACGCTGGAAAGACTCGAAGATACCCATGTAAAGATGCCCTGACGCTGAGATCATGTGCCTCGAATCTAAATCTTGAAGGGGGCGCAAAACAGAAAAGGTGAGTCGACCAAAGTTTATAATAATACTAATAATACGGAAACCATTTTATTTTGGAGCATAATAATCCCTTGTTTTGACAACATATATAGTACCACATAATAGGTTCTCTGAAAATCCTAGCATGTTGTGCAATCGTTTGGAGAACATATATACGTACCACGATACTCAGAGATGGTAATAAAATCACTCGAAGGCAAATCTATAAAACCTCCGCCCGAAGGCAAAATCCATAACTCTTAATCATACCATACCCTCTAAGGGTATCATAATTGTCCGAAGGCAGTACATGTCCATCACCTGAAGGTGAAGTTGTACGACATTGGGTTATCCCGGTGAAAAAACATGGTAGGCCCCATCACCCGAAGGTGAAGTTGTACGACTCTGGGTTACATCGGAGAAGAAATCTATAATATCACACACCGACACTAGTCGTGGCTAGTGAAGTTGTTCGACACTGCTTTCAACAGTGAAGCTGGGGGTATATATATATCTCACTCCTCATCATCGTGTCCGATGGCCATAGACATCTAATATCCGTGTTTTGTGGATGTGTTGTATGATAACCCACTAGATACATACCTAAAAATATATCTAAAACCAAATGGATGTGCTAGTTATCCTCATAAATCCCCGGAAATTCGTATGTATAAAATCGTAGTTGATAATCTTGAATATAAAGAAATTCTAATCATTTTAAAATATTTCACAAAGCCATTTAATTAACTAGTAAATTCTCCAAATCTCAAAAGATATGCAACCCGTAAAACATACTTTAAAACATGTGCAAACTCGAAAATAAGATATGCAAGCAACCCTAAGATTTATAAAATAGTCATTTTAGAAGGGTCCACTCACCGAATTGCGAGCACGATCCTAGGTGCCTAATTTTCTATGTTGTGCCTCATAATATTTGCACCGAGATTTCAATTTAGGAGGATTTTGGACCAATTAATCTCGGATTCATCGAGATTCCACCAACATGGCACCGGTGGTGCTTACCCATTTTCTGGAAAACAAAACAGAACATGCAGAGGTTGAAAACCTGGAATCTCACCTAGATTTCAATCCAGTATCACATGAAAGGATTACAAGATTTACCTAAACACATATTTGGGCACCAGGTGGTCAAGTCCGTCACAAATTCGCCGGGAAAATCCAAGGAATGTCACCGGATTTTCTGGGTATAAACATAGAACAATGAACGGAGGTTAAAACCTCAACTCACTTCGAACCTTCCCCAAAATCACTTCAGAAGATCTGATAACTTACCAGAAGGAAAATTTCGAGTCCAAAACATCTCGGATTAAATGAGACATTGCAGAACTTCTTCACCGGAAAAGCTGAGATTGGAAGAGGTTGAGCCCAAGTTTGATACCAGTCGGATCTTGTCCTGATTCTTGCCGGAGAGCTCGGGGGTTTGAGTTCTCAGATTTTGGATTAAATTCGTAGGGGTGGAGATGATAATAATCTAGTGGTGAGATGGTTTGAGACCGAAGGTTTGTGTGTGGGGTTGTCTTGGTGGAGGAGAGAGTGCTGAGAGAGAGAGAGAGAGAGGGCTGAGAGTTTTCGAGTTTGCGGGAAGAAGGAAAGTGGGGTGGGCCCATGGCTACACCCAAAATAAAAAGAATTTTAACAAAAAATTTATAGTACTATTCATTTTAACGAAAAAGTACATTTTTATATTAAAAAGTCAATCCTGATACTATTCACTTTATCCTTTATTTTGTTCTTATCGTTAAAATTTAAAGTTTTTAAGCCTTTTGAAAAAAAAAAAAAAAAAACCCATTTGGAAAATAGTTAATAAAAACTAATTAAGAATATAGTATGAATATTTTATAAAACAAATAAAATAAGAATAAGAATAAATATCTAAAATAGTAATTTAACAAAAATACATTTCGAGATTAAAATCATTACTTTTGAGGACGGATCGTTACAATGTTCCAAATATTGTTTTTCATAAGAGTAATCATAATCTTTCAATGTTATTATAGGTTAAAGACCAAAAGATGCACTGATAGTTGATACATATACAAATCAAATATAGAAGGCTTGAGTACAGAATCTTTTCTTTTTCCTTTTAACGTAGATTCAGATTTATTGTTTTTGGTGTGTTGGCTTTTATGTAAATATCCGATACAGACTGTGCTCACGAGAACCAACTCGATAACGAACGTGGCTTACAGAGATGATCCAACCATCTTTGCGTGGGAACTAATAAATGAACCTCGTTGTCAATCTGACGTCTCCGGAGCCCTTGTTGAGGTATATGTACATCTCTCCAATTTTGTATTTTTACATTTATGTTTTGCTTTTCAACTTTTTTAGTTGTAAAATACGGTTTAGTGGAATCTGAACACCTTAACTAAGTATTAATCTGTACAGCAATGGGTGAAAGAAATGGCTGCACACGTTAAGTCCATTGACAGTCAGCATTTACTAGAGATAGGGCTTGAAGGATTTTACGGACAAACAACGCCGGACAAGAAGCAGTTCAATCCTGGTAACCAGGAGTATGGATCTGATTTCACTGCCAGCAACTTGCTTCCCCAGATCGATTTCGCCACTATACATATCTATGCTGAGCAATGGTACGTACAAAATCGCTAAAATGGACAGTTCACGCTTTAAATTATTCAAATTGTTGTGACTCATTCATTGATTCCAATAATGTGGACTGTCAAGTTTATAAAATCTTTTTACGTACCATGCATATATACAATAATATTAAGAGTCACCAACTATACGAGAACCGCAACTGCAGGTTATTGGGGTCAAGCGAAGAGGCTCAAGATGCTTTTGTAGACAAATGGGTGCAGGAACACATTCAAGACTGCAATACAGTAGTTAAGAAACCACTGATTTTGGGAGAATTTGGCAAGTCTTATAAATTACCAGGGTACAGCCTAGAAAAGAGGAACTCCTACTTTGCTAAACTATACAATGACATATACAACAGTGCCAGTACCGGGGGCTCATGTGTGGGTGGGCTTTTCTGGCAGCTGATGGCTCAAGGAATGGAGAATTTTGGGGATGGATACGAAGTCGTTTTGGAGGAGAGCCCTACTACTGCCAATGTCATTGATCAGCAGTCCAGGAAGCTTGGTGGGTTATAGACTAGTATTCTTGCAATTAATGTCTCAATAATTGACATTGTGTATTAATAATCACTATGATTTTAGCTTTCTTAATTAAAGAAGCTTGGATGTAATGGTGGTGGGTTTTTCATCAGCAATATATAAACTGCTTCGTAGATGAGTTAATTTTTAGGTGGTGAAAATGAATAATTTTATTTAGCATGAAAAAGCAATGTTCTAAAAAACGGCCTAGGCGGCCGCCTAGGCGCTAAGTGTAGGTGTGCCGATCCGATTAGGTCCCAATTGTTAAGAAAAATCAGGGAGCTGTTAGGTGTCCGCCTAGGCGCTCGTAGGCGGCTTGGGTGGTCTAGGTGGCTGTTTAGGCGGCGGTCTAGGCAGAGTGAAATGGTTTCCTGGGAAGAAATTCCAAACACATATTCTTGCCACTTCGACTCCCTCTATCTGTGCACCCCGACTTTCTTAACTATTGCAACTCCCTCTCTTTGAAATCCATCGAAGAAGAGGAACTTACAGTGCAAAACAGAAGAAGAGGAAACAAATTACAAAAAGGAGACTTTACAGAAGGAAAATGGTACCAAAAAAAAAAAGAAGAAGAAGAAGAAGAAGAAGAGGAAACGGAAAGAAATCAAAGACGATGAGCAAAAGGAAAGAATGAAAAAGAAGAAAGGTTTCCGGTTTTCAAGGCATGGTGCTTTATGAAATGGGGAAGGAATGATGCATGCACCTCTTCATAATTGTCTCTTTATGATTTCTGGCCTCAACAGGCTCAACTTCCATTGCTATATAAGTTGCTGGCCGGTTTTGGTGCTCCAAAGTTCAAAGTGGGACACCAACTTGTTTCTGAACGAAGTTGTTTCTGAACGAAGTTGTTTCAAAAAATCATATACAACCAAGTTGTTTCAAAAAATATTAACCTATATAGCAATTGCTATATAGGTTTCTGAACGAAGTTAGAATACAATGGTCAATTATTTCATAAATAAAAGAGAGAAGATTTTGGGGATGATACCAATGTGCGTGGTTTGGTTAAGGAATGCCTGACATGGCTTCCTAGTAATTTTATTATGAACCACACAACCCGAACCACCCAACCCACTATGTGGGATTTTTACTTTTGTTTTTCAAAAATTAGATATAATCATTTAAAATGTCTTAAGTTATATGACATATATGTTTAATGTGTTTTTAATTTTGAACTTGTTAGATACTCTTTTTGTAGTTTATCATTCTTTTATTATCTTATTCATGGATTTCATTCAAGTATAATTTTTCACGTGTACTTATTTACAAGATATACAAGAAATTTACCTAAATCTGTCTAGGCCACCTAGGCATCAATGACAATTGATAACATTACTCGGAGAAAATTGTCAAATTTTACACAAGCACTCCAATATTTTTGCCAAGAAATTGTATTAAAACAAAATAAATCTTTTGAGAAATTTTTACATGTATGGGAACTTTCTACTATCATTCATATGTTATAATATAGGTGAAAAACATAGTTAACTTAAAGTATATAATAAAAACTAATAAATATAGAAGCTTTAATTAACACTCTAAAAATTTTATTTTGCACTCCTCACAAGTGTATTTTTCTCTCTAATTATAGAAATTTTGGAATGCAAAATGGATTTTGAGAGTGTTAATAATAATTTTCGTGAAAATTATATGTATCAATATTATTATATCAGTATAATAGTAAAACCAGAGCTTTTATTTTCTATCAAAAAAAAAAAAGTAAAACCACATGTTGACTCTAAAAACTACCAAGCCTACGTAGCCCTCAGGCGCAGTAATTAATGAACTAACTACATCATTTTAGTAGATCTGGGCATGCCAACTTACGACCGAGCTTAGTCGATGAGCAGGATGGTTGTGGTGGTGGTGTCTAATGCACTACTAACTTCTGTACTCGAGCGATCACAATCGAGGAAGGAACGCGTCTCGACCTTAGGTTCTAGAACCTGAAAGCAAGGTTTCTTAAATCACTGCAAAGTTTAGGATCTCCTGCACTAAGTTTGGCTGCCTCTGATATATTCGTGAGAATATAGGTGCGCCAAATTGTTATCAGGCTGTAAGGACACAAGTACTCAAAATACACAATTGTCTTTATGGTAAATTTTGTTTGGTTGTCTGAATACTGAACTCTGAAGTGCAGCTAGGGAAGCTAATTGAAATGGCCTCGTTCGGTGAAAGAATCAAAGACTCATCGTCAGCTGAGACTGGGATAGATGATCAACTGAGTTTGAAGTAGTGATGTTAATCGAAACTAAAGATATTTCGTGATCGCTTGATTCTACGCCTACAGTGTTGTTAGTCTAAACTGAAGATGTCACTGGTTGTCAATGTTGTGTTGTTACCCCAAACTGAAGATGTGTTGACAGAATTAAGGCGGTTGGTAATTTCTCAGAGTGTGAGAAAGGTCCGCGTAGAGCAAGGTTTTATACAGAGCATTTGTGTGTTGAGTTAAATGTCCTCTCCTCGTTGCAGAAGAACTTCTATTTAGAAAGGTGAGTTTCGTGGTGACCAAGCATGCTGAAGTAGAATCCCAACAGAACTATACTTCTTCAATTCTTTCCTGGATATCTACAATATTATCCTTTCATTAAACAAAACCAATCCGCACATGATCTCGGCCACTTGAACCTAGTCCTCTTAGTGTTCGATTCACGTCTTATTTAATCGATCATAAGTCTTGATTCTTGAAATAATTCGAATCTTATCAAAACCTATTCTGATCCTTGGCTATTTCCTTTCAATTAGGACTTAGTCGAATCATTCCTTAATTTGATCTTTAAGAATCTTACCTCTATTGGGACTGAGCCGAATTCTTCCATAGGATGAAAATTATCTATCATGAGATTGCAAGACGAATTATCCATTTCATTGTGCTAAGCTTTCTTGCACGACGAAAACCTTTGTCGCCTAACGTTTTCACTTTTACCGCCCTGACGTTTTCACGTGCCGATACTTTTATTTTGTCGGTCAAAGAACCCTTGAACGATGAAATTGCTTGGTCGTCTAAAGTTTGGTCGCTCAAGTAGTTTTTTTTCTACTAGTGTTTCCTAATAAATTGTCATACGTACGTTGCCTAAAATATAGACACTTTCTTGGTCCCATGATCATCACCTTCATTAATTAATCCTATCTTATCCCCCACAATCCTCCTCTTCTCATTATTTGACTACTCTAGAGAGACCAAGTAGAGCCATTTGTAACTAGGTTTTGAAGATCAAATGGGCATATCTAAGACATTTGCATTTTGCATTGTTCTCTTGTGGTGTGCTCACTCTGCATCGAAATTACGAGTGGCAATTACATCACCTTCCATCCAAGTCTGCCACATGTCCCTTCTTCCTCCCCATATCAGAAGCCATGGCTGCTTCATACCATCATCCTCTTCGTCTTCTCCGAACCTTAGTTAAGATATTACATTTAATTTGGTAAATTACAGTAATAGCGATCTATGTGGCAAACTCCTTATTGTCCTCCTCCACGTCATTTTCATCTTTCTTCTTAGCCAGTGCTCCTCTGTCTGGTGATGCCATAGCCACGGGTATCGGTTTGTCGCAATTCTCCTTCTACTTCTCTTCCTGCTGCTCCTCTTAGAATTGTGGCTCATTGTAGTTTGAGCTTTATTCTCGTTGGCAAAAATTTTGACTTTGACCAAAAGGGGATTGGGATGTTTATAACTAAAAATTTGGTCCAGAGCAGCAGCCTGAGGCGGGACCGGGGAAGAAAAAAGAAAGCCTGAGATGGGACGGGGGAAGAAGAAAGAAACCCTGAGGTGGCTACCGCGGGCAGTCGTTTTTTGGGTTCGGCTGATATTTTTAAATTCATAAAGGTTTTATTTAACTATGATTAAGAAAAAAAACAAGTGGCAGCCTTTTTGTGGGGGTGGGGGGGTGGGGTGGTTCGGGGTGGTTATTTTTAAAATTCATCAAGGTTTTATTTAATTATGATTAAGAAAAAACACAAGTGGGGGGGAGGGGGGGGGGGGGGGTGGCGGGGGTGGTGGTGTTGTGGTGGCGCTGGTTGAGTATCCACCAAAGTTAATTGCTGGTTGAGTATCCACCAAAGTTAATTGTGGTGAATAAAATGCTCCCTTGCATTAGTAATCTAGTGATGGGACGCGACCAACTGCTTGGTTGCAGAGGATCACACTGCATGCCTCCGTTGTCCTACCCTTAGTACAGAGGTTGTGAGGAGAACAGGTGCAGAAGCAGTGGTCGTAAATTAAAATAAGTGTACTCAGATTAGGGCCACCGTTATATATGGAGTAAGCTTACAAGAAAGAGCCAGATAATGGTCTTCTATTTACTCCCATGTTGGAAATATGGTGTAATAAATATGAACAATTCTTTGGTTCTTTGATTTAGTAAATGAAAATTCGTTGTTCTCTCTCAGAAGAGCCATTTGAAGGGATAATACTTGGGACTCACTGCGGAAAACCCAAATTACTAACCAAATTACATGGACCAATAAAAATTTAACATGTGTAATTAAAAACAAAAAAAGTAACCAGACCTACTTCACGCTTAGAAGCTTAGAGGTTAACGGAGTGTTCTGTAGAACTCCAAACGTCTCCCTTCCTCACGCTCATACTACCTCTTGGTCAGACTAGCTCTCCCTCTCCCCCTCCTTCTCGCTCAGACCACCATCACTTAGAGCAGCAACAGCAAACTCTAAGCGACACCGGTGAACTCCGCGCTCATACCACCATCCATTCTGTTGTATTCTTTGATGGTATGTTTTCAGTCTTTGTATATAATATCAGTTTGCATTTAAAATTTTTTTCTTTGTATATAATATCAATTTGCATTTAAAATTTTGGGTGGTTGTTATGTTTGAAAATGTTTGTGGATTTTGATCTGAAAAGGGGAACGAAATGACAACAGGAAAGGGGTTGTTATTTTTGAATAAGTTTGAGTAGGCTCTGTTTGTCTCATATTGAGATGCAACAGAATAAAAGCAAAGAAATAATGGATAGTATATTTTATGTCACTATATTGATATTATGTTGCAGGTTATGGAGAACAAAGAAACTACAAGATTAGATAGCGAGTTACAAGGTGCAAATCGTTCACCTATTCTTTGGAACCTTCTAAGAGCCATGATGGCTTTGAGATTGACATATAGGTGAAGTAAATCATCTTCGTCATTAGATAATGACTCGCTATCTAATCTTGTAGTTCTTGTTCTCCATAACCTGCAACATAATATCAATACAGAGACATGAAATATGATATCCATCATTTCTTTGCTTTTATTTTGTTGCATCTCAATATGAGACAAACATAGCCTACTCAAACTTTTTCAAAAATAACAACCCCTTCCCTGTTGTCATTTCGTTCCCCTTTCAGACCAAAATCCACAAATTTTTTCAAACATAAAAACAACCCAAAATTTTAAATGCAAATTCATATTATATATAAAAACTGAAACCATACCATCAAAGAGAACAGCAGAGAATGGATGGTGGTCTAAGCGTGGAGTTCACCGGTATCGCTCAGAGTTCGCTGTCGCTGCTCTAGGTGATGGTGGTCTGAGCGAGAAGGAGAGGTAGTCTGAGCGAGAAGAAGAGAGACGCTTGGAGTTCTACAGAACATGCCGTTAACGTTTAAGCTTCTAAGCATGAACTAGGTCTGGTTCCTTTTTTCTTTTTTTCTTTTTTAATTAAACATGTTAAATTTTTATCGGTCCATGTAATTTAATCAGTAATTTGGGTACTCCCCAGTGAGTACCCAAGTATTATCCCATTTGAAATTACTTCTCTTTTTTATTTTGATAGGATTTGAGATTGCTTCTCTAAAAAGCACTTTTGCACATAATATTTTTTATAGAACTTAAAGATTTGTTGAAATTTTAATGTGCTACTTGCAAAAGCATATGACAATTGAGTTTTTGGTCAATTTGAGTCAATCAAGTTTTTTTTTCCTTAAATTTTCCTTAAGACAAATATTTAAACTTAAATTTATATAATCAATAATTAACCATGTGCAAATAACTTGGTAAATAATGTAATGTTAGTTAATATGAAAGAAAAAGATCCCCAGTACTAAATGTAGTATGCAATAGATCAGTTGTACGTGTACATGGGTTGTAGGTAAGAATAAGTTTCCTCTTGTAGAATTGTCCATGAAAAAAAATTTGTTCACTTAATTTAAGAAAAATATTAGGTAGACCACATCTGTTAAATCACGTTGTTGTACAATCTGATGTGTCAAAATATGCCCTACCACATGATTTTTGACGCATGATAAATGATATGATTTTAACGCATGATATGATATTTATAAAGAATGATGAAACTCATCATAAACCCTAATCAGCTAAAACCTAATAGAACATGATGAAACTCGTCATAAAAACTAATAGATGAAACTCACACATACCTGTGCACCCTCAAGGCTAGCCCTTACCGTGAGATCATAAGTATTCATAAAAGATTGAGAAACTAAATATATACATTTATTTAAAATAAAATTTCAAGATAAATGAACGAAACAACTATGAGTACATTTGATGAAACTTTTGATTAATGTGTGTGTAACCTGTTCGGTCATGATCCCTAATCAACTAAAACCCTCCACCAAAAGCCATGACTACTAGAGAAGTACATTCTGATACAAGCACTTCTTATCACAAGAAATAATAAAATTCATGTCCCATGCACCCTGTGCACCCTTGACCCTGGCTTAATTTTGGAGGACTCCATGTTTCATCCATAGACAAAAGAGAGGAGAAGTGATCGGAAGGAGTAGTTTCCCGAATCAGCTGATTGGTTCGAACCTCCACATTGTGCTTTAACTTGTACAAGGCTTCCCTGTACTCTTCTAACTCCTCCAAACTACTCATCATTCCAATCGGTCTCTCCCACCACCCATAAGAACAACCTCCTTCATCTTCTTCATTGTTGTTACTATTACTTTTCTTCCCACCCTTCAATATTTTCTCTTCCTTCAAGAGTCTCGAAGCTTTCTCATAATCTTGTATTTGCTTCTTACTACTACTCGTATTAACATTGGAAGAATTAGTAGAACGATGAGTGTTGTTGATTTGAGGATGATAATTATCTGGTTGACCTGCAGATAATGAAGCATTGTGACCAACGTAGCGTTCGATGACGGCGTCAGGGGAGGGACTTCCGAAGCAGAACACCTTGCCACTGTTTGACACAACGATTGCTGCCGTCTCAGCACCGGTCAAAACGCTGAGCTCTGCTGTTTTGTTGAAGAGACCCCTTTTGCGCTTGGAGAAGGTCACGTGACGCTTGTTCTTGTCTTCAACTTTCTTTATTTCAACCCTTCTTCGACTTTTGCTCTCCTTTTTCCCATTCTCAGCATCTTTGTTTGTGATCCTATTATCAGGACTCTTAGCCATTAATTGTTAGTAATAGTACTTGTGATATCAATGGCAACCCAGTGGGAGAAGGGAAATTAATGGCAAACCCTAGAGAGAAGGAAAGTGATGTCAAACCCTGCTAGATGTAAAACTAATGTAAAACCCTAGAATATTGTTAAGCAATCTTGGAGAGAATATGGAAAACCCTAGAGGGAAGGAAAGTGATGGCACACCCTAGAATATTGTTAAGCAATCTTCAAGAGAATGTGGCAAGCTATCTGAATTTTGGTATGCTTTGTTGTGAATAAGGTAACTAGTATTTATAATGGTAAGAACCGGTGACTTGTTTGCGAAGCATAAGATTATTAAGAGGATTCCTATTAAGAGATGTGAATGGGTAGGTAATCTCTAATATGTAGGCTAAAAATATGGACACGGAGATACTACAGATAATTACCTTTTTTTATCTGAATCTACCCCATTAAATCTTAGTCCTTTTCCTATAAATTTCTAAACTTTCTAGCCGATTAACCTAATCCTAATCCGTTTCTTATAATTACAAACTTATACTTTTATTAATTAATTAAAATATTCCAAATTATTACTTGGCGTTTTGAAGGGAGTTTTAACACTCGATTTATTTATGGAGCTTTGAATATCCTTAAATAGAATATTTTTAGCCATGCAAGTTAGGCTAAAAGATGTGCAAGTTAGGCTAAAAGATGCTGATTTAGGAATTCAGAGCTCAAAGATGACGATTGATGAAAACCAGATTCGTGTTTGTTTACATCATCACTTAAAACCAATAACTTCATCACTGGTAACGCCATCGCTAACGTTAGTGATTGAAGAAATTGTTATTAGTACTTCAAAATCCAAATCATCATTTAAGCACAATATCTCTATTAAGCACAATAAAAGAAATTATTATTAGCACTTAAAAACCCAAATGTACACCCAAACTTTCTGTTTTTAGAAATAAAAAAAATTATTGTGGAGATAGTTCTCATTATAAATTTTATTTTTAGTGCACAAATCAAACAGCCACACACATTGAAAGAAACAACACAATTTCACTTTTATAAACTTATCACGGATATAATAAAGTTCTTCATCCTCAAGGGAGGCACACCCAACCAACATGAAATATGATAGTCGTGGGGACTTAAACCTTGTTAAACATAGAACTATTATATAAGTACCACAAGAAAAAGACCGCACTACCGTATGATGAGGTTGTAAAGAAACATTGCTTTAAGAGCCAATTTAAGATTGATTTGATCTAAAAAGAAAAAGCTTATGCTATGTTTTAAGAAAAATTAACTATAGAATAAAGTAATTTAGCGTTTGATAAAATATATATATTTAAAACGTTGTGAGTATAAAAGGCAGTATAAAGTAATATAGTCATGTATAGTCATTCAGTACTACGGTCCAGTAATATTTATCTTAACTTGTAAGTAAGAAGTCTTACGTTCGAATCACTTGGATGTCAATTCGATACCAAATTAGATTGCCCATTGTATGGCTTAGCCGAACTCCCGCCTCCCTCTAATGTAACATATATCATTGTACTCAAAAAAAATATAATCATGTATATATATTTGTAGGGCTGGTAGCAACAATACGGTGATGATGGTGTTAAGAGCTAGCATCTCCACCGGTAGATGGAGGACAATGGCAATTGGAGGGCAAGAACAATGGAAATTGCCCTCACATTCACTCTAAAGAGTAATTGCCTTTGTGCAACTCTACCCATTTGGAATGAGCAAGGGCAAGGGCAATTACTATTCAAAAATATGTTTTTTTTTTTTGACCTTTTTAATGTTTTCTTCATCTTATAATCATCACATATTATTATCGCCTTAGATTTTTGAGTAATTTTAATTGTTTAATTTGCAAGTATGTTGAACTTTGTAAGATTTTTAAAGTGCAAACTTTGTAAGTTTTTAGAATTTTTCAATAATTTTTTAAAATTTTTATGATTTTTTCATTTTTTAGAATGGAATTAATCCTAACTGTTGAATTGGCAATTTTTTGAAATCAGGGGCTCACAACGAACCACATTTCGGGTTGCAACATCAACAGTTTTGCTGGGCTTCACGCGAGGGGTCCACCCCTTGTCCGCTTTCACTGGGGCGCAAGCTCTTGCAATTGTTGAAGGGGCAGCTGCTAGCCTGCAATGACAGCTACCTTTTGGCCAATTGCCTCCCACTTTTTCCACCGGTGGAGCACATTTGTTGGGGCAGATGGTAATTGCATCCAATTAACCTGTGGATTGAAGAGCCGCTGGAGATGCTCTAAGGGTAGTGACAATGGCCGTTTCTTATCCGTGTGTCCCTCGAGGAAGAAGAGAAAAGGAGAGGACAGAGAGGCCGGGGTCCTCACCCGGTGCGCGAGAGAGCTGCAGGAATTAAGAAAAAGGAACGTGGGTCCCTGGTGGCACAAGACCAACATGACAGACAAAACATCCGTGGTGTAAAATTACTAAAATACCCCCACCATTAATGCTCTGCAGAATATTCGTTTGAACTCTAAATTTCATTTTGTCTGTGCTCACGTATTTGTATGGACAAACAGTACAAAACTATAGTAATTAATATGTCATCCATGCCACAGACACCAGGTCAACAAAAGTCAACTTGTATCCTTCTATGGGCATTTGGGTCATTTTACAATAACAAGGGTAATGTACACAAAAATTTTGGGACGGTTCATAACAGCCTTAGTCAACTCCAATAAATTTGGAGTTTCTTCATTATAGTCTTTTGTCATGTGCACAACCATAAGAAGAGCAAATTAGCACCTCTGCTCTGGGTAACAATCCTTTGCTTAAAGATCCGATTTGAGTGCTAAGCCATAACTGCTACAAAGCCTCCACTTAACAGAGCGAATGAGCAACCACATCCACAACCACAAAGACTACTATCTTCGAAACGAAAGAGCAAGATAATTGGGGGATGGAGATGGTTAAAAGATAGAAGAAGCATGAAGGAAAAAAGAAGAAAGAGATCAAGAGAGATTGCCACCGACTCAAAAAATAAAGAAAGATACAATGGGAAAAGATATTTTCTCTATTTTTCTCGAAGTTCTAAATTTATTCCTTATTCTTTGTTCTTCCTTTTATTTGTGGAAAACAGAGGGTAAATGTTTTAAGTTACAACTTCTTGCATTTAGTAAATAGATCAGACCCAGAACGATGACATAAAAAATTTGCATCTTCTCATCTCCCTACCATTTTTAAAAATACAACTCATGAACCTCACTTTTATTTAATTACTATAATTATAAGCAGATCCAAGTTCTCTTAATTCTTCAATGTGGGATTCACAATGTCATTACTCAAAAGTAGTGTAGCCAATGAAAAACTTACACTAATTTCAGAATTTATACGTTGAGGGTCTGCAAGGTTGAATTAACTCTTCATCTTAGGCTTTGTTTGGCACACCGTCTAAAGCATTGGATAGAATTAATAATACGAAGTTGGTTGTTTAGTGCCTTCACCGGATAAATAGTAACCCGATTAATATTGCGGTCATCCTTTTTTAATACAGTCGACACCCGCTGGTTAATACACTCCAAAAGCTTGGTACTAATTAGTCGGGGTTAGAAACGCACTGAGGTTCTTTCTTCTTCGCGCATCTACTCTTATGGCGGATCAATTCATCTTCTTCTTTCTCTGTCCCAAATATCTTTTCTCTTCTCTCTCTTGCTCCCTACCTCCTTCTCTCTCCACGGTCGCTCCCCAGTCGTCAATACATATTCAGCGATATCTCTCATCGACACTTTTACAGTTTCAATCCTGGTGCACCGATGACTTGTAGGAAAAAATAAAATAGAAAAACTCAGATCTATTCTTCTACGATGTTGCTGCAACAAATTAAGGTCCAATGTCACAACTCAAATTCATCAAAAGCTTCATTAATATAATCAATTTCATGGGTTTTGCATCTTTGCATATTGGGGAGCCTAAACCCCAGCTAGCACCCACACCCCAGATCACCACCGACAAAAAATAACATTATACTAAACAAATTTCATATGAAAGTTGAAGATTCTGAGCAGTTTCAACGAAATGAACAGCACTGATGCAGCCACTGGCCCTCCTCTATTATTTTTTTTATTTTATGGTTTTTTTTTATTTTTTTAAATAGTCAGTTTTTTAATTTAGTACATCACCAAACGTCTGACTAATTTAATCAGTACTATCCGATAACTGTTTATCCTACCCTACTAAAATAGCCAGTACAGTCCTAACTGTGAAACGAGACCTTAATGAGTTATATAGGATTGCAGGTAAACCCAAATGACAGATAAGATATTCTAATCTGGTAGATTATAAATATATGTGGCAATTACAGAGTAAAATAATAACACGTCCCTGGAGAAATATAACTATTAAAACTATATTGTTCAACATTGTACGATCACGGCATGTTTTGCCTCCGCATATAAGACAATGAACTCAACTTTGACCAATATATTAAATACAATCAAGATGCATGTCACAATCATCAACTTAAGACCAACGAGATAATGCAGCGAGGACGCAGAACACGACCTTAAATTTGTACTGTTAGAGAGTGTAATGCATAATATATCTGAAATTAATTGATGTACTAATCATAACCAAAAAAGTAAATTGAAGTACTTGTCCGGAACTCAAGATATGAAGAGAGTACTTAGTTATTTGTTAATGGGGATTAGAAACAGCAAGTTGTTAAGCCAGTTGATTGAAGCTCAAGGAGTGAAAAGACTGAGAAGCCCTTCAATGACACCAAAAGGTTATGTGCCTGTTTGTGTTGGTGTAGATGGTGATACGAAGCGTTTCATGGTTCATACCACGTTGCTTCACCATGCGGATTTCTTGGAGCTGTTGCATAAGTCAGCGGAGGAATATGGTTTGTGCAATGACGGGGTTTTGAGGATTCCATATGAAGCCAAGGATTTTGAGGAGCACTGGATGATAAGAAGGTCCAAGATTTACAAGGTTGAAGCAGTTTAATTAATCATGGATTTTTCAGTATATTGTTTGATGTAATCATTGAGAAAATATGCTTTTATTTATTAGTTATGTACTTTCATTGCTAACATACGCCTTAGCTAGGGGATTTAATATGCTGGTGTCAATTTGCAGCGTAATCTTCTGGTTTTTCAAATGAAAATCATGTGCATTGTTTGATGTATCATCGTGTTATTAAGAAGTTTGATAGACAATTGGTAAGTCATGTTTTCTATGGATTAGCGTGCACTTATATGCAAACGCCTTTTGCAGTTTGAGGAATGATCGATACTAATTATATTGTGAGATGTGAATGTAAAAGAGTTATATATCGGTGAATGAGAAACCTTGTATGGGGTTGTACGAGGTCGGACTATTTTCCATATTGCTAATTGATTTTTATAATGGTAGAACCCCAACTTCCTTCATATATATCATGTTTATGCTTGAAGATAGGGAGAACTATTTTTGTTTCAGTTACCAAAGAATCAGTGGCATGATGAAGACACCTATGCTTACCACAAGTGCTCAAGGTTACAAAACCGTAGTGTCACATTTAGGTCAAAATCAGCTATAACAATATTTCTAGTTCAATCTGTTACATCTCTAAAATGTGGCAATGACCATTACATTAAATAGGGATTTCTCAATCGTATGATCATCACCTCTTCCAATATTTGGAGCTATCTGATTTCCCGTAGTCCTTATTATATACCTAATTAGTCGGTAGAGACAAAGTAGATCCATTTGCAATCAATTTGATGTCCATGTCCAAGACATTGACAGTCTGCATTGTTGCTCTCTTGGTGTGCTCACTTTGCTTCGAATCGCGAAAGTCAAATTTCTGAAATATCCACCGCAGAGGTACGACCAGCCGTTTCGCTGTAGGTTTTCACGTTGCATGCCTCCACCATCCAACCCATATAGAAGAGGTTGCGAGAAGAAGGAAAGGTGCGATCAGGTCGTAAATTAAAACAAGCCTTCAGAGGTGGAAAGGTTAAGGGCCACAAGGTGCAATGGAGCTTATTGCAACAAATTCGAGAGAATATCAACTTATATGTTTACCATATAGCTCTTGATCTACCCTATTGCAACATGATGTATTAAATAAGAACAATTCTTTCACGAGGGTTGATCCTAAAAACTACCAAGCATACGTGGCGCGCAGGCCGAGTCATTAATAAGCTAATTACATCCTTTGGTTGTTTGCGAGGCGTGCCAACTCGTCGGCCGAGTTCGGCCGAGGAGTAAAATATGTTGATGTGGCGTTGGGCATGCCACTGACTTCTTGATCTTGCGACTGCGGCTGAGGAAGAACACATCTCGGCCTTCGGGTTTTAGAGCCGGAAGACAAGGCTGCTAGTTCTGCGAAGTTCAATATCAAATTTAGCTTTCAATGTGCCGAATGTAGTAACTTGTAACACCTCACTTCACCGAGAAGGCTAATGAGATGAGCTCTGCCAATAAGAATTCAAAAATCCTTCTCGACCGAGACTTGGATAGATAACTAATCGGCCTTGATGCAGTGCTATTTATCCAAACTAAAGGTGCTCCGCGATCGGCTGATTCTACGGCAACAGTGCTATTTATCCAAACTGAAGATGTCACCGGTTGCCTTCACAGTGCTGTTTATCCAAACTAAAGATGTGTTGATGGAAAAAAAAAAAAAAAATCTCAAGGTTGTCGAGAGGTTTCGCGTAGAGCGAGAGTTTGTGCAAGGCAGTTTGTGTGTTGAATTGGAGGGGGTTTAGAATGATGCACCCCCTTCTTATATATAGCAGCCAATCTCATCATGGCCGAACCAAAACTACACTCAGATTAGGATTCTTTAACCTAATCTAACCAGGTCTCGGCCAATCCTACCTCCATTAGGACTTCAAACCAACCTCTTTATCCGGCCATGTTCACCTCTCGAATCTCAGCATCCTCATTCCATTGAGACTCCTTATTATACTAGGATTCGACTTACCCCATCAATCCGCCTCATGCTAGGACTCGGCCGATCTTAACCAAGCAGCCTATAACAACTAGAATTCGCGATGGTTCTAGAAACATATTGCCGGGCCGAGAACAACTCCTAACTAGGCCCACACCAATATTTTGGGCCCAAACAACGAGTAATGCTATTTATACAATGTTTTTTTACCACAGTTTCATAACATTAGGTGGCATTTGATGTGGACAACCACATCATTTGAATTAATCAAAATTTTAAATTTAGTTTATTATTTAATAAACTAATAATTAAGAAAAACTAGTTAATTAAATAATGATTGTGTTATACGATGAGTCTTTCTTATTCATTTCCTTGGGTTTTACAAATTTTTCAAATAATATAGTTGTCCACATCAGATTATGCCACCTAAGATGGTATAGAAATATGATATAAAAACATTACTCGTCTTTCACTAATAAATATGTTGTCGTTTCTTTTTGTGTGACTAGGTTTTAAGAGGGACAGTACTTGCGTTCAGTCTTTATGAGTGCATTTCCATGTCTACTTATGTATAATTAATTAACCAATATATATTCACTATCTAAATATCAAAATCGAATCGTTTATTTTTTACAATTATCATCTAAAGATCTTTACAAAAGATGCGGTTCTATCGAAGGACACATTATTGACATATACCTTAGAATGGTAAAAAGAAAATGAATATTTCAATTACAATTCCATTCACCCTCGTCTCACCCCCGTCCACCCACCCTCGTCTCACCACCCCGTTCCCCCACCCTCTCCACACCCACCACCACCGTACCCAGCCTCCTACACCCTGTCCACCCACCCTCGGCCCACCCACATCCCCCACCTCCACCGTACCCACGCTTGACTCTTTCGACTGCCTCACTGTTAGCTACTAATTAATATCACCAGAAAAAATTTCACACCTTTTAATGGATAATTAAGTTGGGAATAATATTGATAATGTTAATGGTGAACCATACTGGACCTTTAAACTTTATCATAGTATCAAAGTGGGGATTTACTGAGCTCAAATTTTGTTTCGTAAGTTAAGTTTTTGAAAACGTACGATAGCTCCAACTTAAGAGCACTGAATGAAAGTTTGGGCCTTCATATAGATGAATTGACTCTAGTGAATGAATAATGGCCAGACTGTCGAAATGATTTGTTACCTTAACTAGTTTTTCATATGGGAATTAGTTTCTTGAGTGACATTGTGTGGGGTCACTCGTAACTGGTCAAGTTAGAGATAGAGTCGCACATTAGAAATACAACAAAATAATATATATTATATAATTTATATGTGAAAGGTTACTACTAATATCACCGAACTTTTATGATAAATTTATGCACTTAGTAAAAAGTAAATAAAGAAAAGATTGTTTATATTGGTGATGAGTCATACCAAACCTAATAAAAAAACCTTAAGCTTTGTTGTTTGTACCAAAGCAATTTTCACTCGGTACAAATAAGGTTCAACTTAGCATTCGTGAACTCATTTGTTTAATGTACCCTTATAGTTAGTTTTAGTCACATACATGATGTGACACGTTGGAAAATTATTAGCCTAACTAGCTTTGGAAATTTCCAGATTGAGGGTCGTCACCAAAGTTGAATTAATTGTTATAACCTAATCACAGGCTGCAGTCAACGCCATCGAGGAGATGTGCCTCGACATTTACCAAGTAATTTAAATACATGCATGTCGCAATCATCAAGTTAATGACCAAATTATTATCGTTAATCAGACTTAAATATACTAGCTTGTTACGATATTGTAGCAAGGACGCAGAGTGTGCACGGCCTTAAATTTGTACTGCTAAGGAGTGTACCATTATATATCTGAAATTAATTGAAGTACTAATCACAAGCCAAGAAAAGAAAATTGAAGTAGCAAGTAACCCGAAAAGATAGATGAAAAGAGTACTTTGCTATTTGCTAATGGGGTTGAGAAGCAGCAAGTTGTTGAGCCAGTTGATCGGAGCTCAAGGACTGAAAAGACAGAAAAGCTCACTTTCAATGACACCAAAAGGTTATGTACCTGTTTGTGTTGGTGGAGATGGTAATACAAAGCGTTTCATGGTTCATACGACGTTGCTTCGCCATGCAAAGTTCTTGGAGCTGTTGTATAAGTCGGCGGAGGAATATGGGTTTTCTAATGATGGGGTTTTGAGGATTCCATATGAGGCCAGCGATTTTGAAGAGTATTGGATGATCAAAAGTTCTAAACCCAAGATTTACAAGGTTGAACCGTTTAATTAGTCTTTTTTTTTTTTTTTTTTTCTTTTGGTGAGAATTAGTCGTGCGTTTTTCAATACATTGCTTGATGTAATTATTTAAAAAATTGGTTTTATTTGTTGTTTATTTTCATTGCTAACTAATGTCTTAGTTAAGGGATTTAATATGCTGATGTCCATTTGCATTGTTCTTCTGGGCTTGTGAAATGAAAATTATGCGCATCCTTTTTCATTGTGAGGACTGTTTTGTATTTTAGTTTGTGATTTTTTTAAAAAGTAATACTATTTATAGACACAAAATTGGTCTCACTGTTGACAGACTCTCTAATATAAGTGGGTTGCACATACAATAACAGGGTCCACTTCCATATGACATTACATTTTGATGTACATTACCTAGCTTCTAATTGTATAAAACTGTAGCCAAACCGGATTGATTTTGATTTCCGATTCACTTGTGTTATAGCCTTATCCAAAGATTCATATAACAAGCAAACCAAACCAGTTTGAAAAGAAATAAAATAACTGAACAAGCCAAATTTAAGCATATCTATATTCAGTTCGACTCAACTTGTTTACAGCTCCACCCATAGATTAGTTTCTCTGGGGCTTGGGCATTTCGCCAAGTGCCATGTCTCTTAAGGTACAAGTCATTGTTTATATTTCTCGATTATGCGTGTCATATTTGCTGAAAGACCATGCTAATCTTCTCCGTATCATTCCAGTTTTATAGGATGTCCCGGAAGGGACAAGCCACTATTTATAGATTGTTGACCTGTTTCGCCATGGTCATTAACTATTTCGCTTCCTTAATTTACAACAATACTGCTTTAGCTTTCTCTTTGACTTCCTTTTTAGCCCGTGTATCGTCGGTGGCATGAATTCAACATTTTACAAACGATGCCTGCTTATCACAAATGTTTTTTTCGTAATGCTCACCTTTTGTCGACCCTTCAGACATATTAGCTTCTTAAGTTATAAACCTCGCAATATAAAACTTGCATAACATCTTCCAATATATCCTAATGAATCCACGTTAAGTGATTCATTTATGTACTCTTCCTAAATTGCTTGAAAATATACTATTTACAGTAATATACGCTAACTTGCACAATTATTGAATTTTTGTTTCTGGTTTCCTTGATGTTCATTCACAAAAGAAATGAGCTTTGGAAGACTTCATCATGGACTACTGCAAAGGGTTAAAGATATGTAATTTTTTGGCATTCCACTTCTAAAGTTACCTGATGCACAGACCCTAAGAACCTGTTTTAATATTGTTTGCAATTGTTGGAATGACAACAAGCCTTGCAGGACATGTATTTTTTAGGTTTCATGCACAAACAAAATATATGTGAACTACATGGTGCTTCTGTTTCTGATGCAAAAACACTATATTTTGTCATCGCAACTTTTGTTAACATAAACTTCCAGACACGCTATTCTGATTGTATATTTGCTCTTGATGTCAACTTAATAGAATGTCAATGCAAATTGAACTACTTATTTTATTGCATGGATTCACCTATCTCTTAGTTTTTCATTTGTTTGGAGATGAATGTGTTAATTTGTGGTTTTGTAGGTATTACTTAAATGCAATTGTGTTGTTGTAGTCTTTTAAGTTAATTTTTCTGTGGATATTATTTATGGTTGTTGTCAATTATAGTTTGAAAACCCACAGCACAGCGTGGACAATTATTCTACTATAGTACTAAACTGTATCGAGCGTAAGAACTTAGCAACGTATTTTACTCGTTGGAATACATTCATGAGATGGTCGAAACGTGTGCATGAAAATTATTGTAACAACGATTTGTTGGAACATGATTTTCTACTGTAGAACAGGTAAACATGTAATTGTCTAATGAACTAATTAATTACTGAAAACAAAGTTTCATTTGATTATGGAGGATATGGAGCTTATTAGAACAAAGAGAGGATATCAACTTATATATTTATTATATAGCTCTTGACCTAGCCTATTGTTATTATGATGTAGTAAATAAAAAACAATTCTTTTATTAATAAACTCATTGTTCTTTCTTATGTGTGACGGGTTTTTATGATGGACAATACTTGCGTTCAATTTGTGGATATATGTTTTTGTCCACTCAATTGTGATGAACGTATTTTCGTTGTATAATTGTCATAATCAGGATAGTTGGTTTTAATATTTATCAATTAATCATCATCTATAAAGGATCATTCGAGTTTGAGAAAATTTAGTCATTTATCATATGCAACAAATAAATAAACAGTTCATTCTACGAAGTGAATAGCTAAACGATGTACGATTTTATTGACTTTTTGCTGAAATATATTTTATTATAATAAAAAACAATCCACAATTATGATTACATCATACGGTAAAAATATGTTGATCACAACTAAGCAAACAAGGCGCACCCCTGGATACTTCTCCATGGCATTACCCTTCTACAAATAGTATGCAAAAATGATAAGGATACCATTCAACTACAGTAACCATTGTAACCATTGATCTCTTTCTTCACATTTTATTTTATTTTTACTCAACTCAAGTAAATCCAACAGAAGTATACCGATTCTGATTCGTATTGAACACGATAGACGTGTTAGATCCGATGATCTGAGTATGATCCAAATTCAACAGTTGGACTAGCTATTTACGAGTCTAATCTACACAAATTTCAGTAGACCAACAAGCTTTTGGCAATTGCTGAGGATACTATTCAACTAAAGTATCCATTGATCCGCATACAAAAGAATATCACTAAGCTGACTTTCAACTCTTCTAAACTTCCACCATAAAGTAACAAGTATTTTGTTTCCTTTACAGCAATGTGCATTGGTCACATTTTATTCCTCTTTTCATTAACTAGAACAAGCACGCACAAAGACGGCTGCAACATTCTTCGGAAGAGAGCAGGATGAAGGTTTGCTCTGGAGCAGACTTCCATGATGTAAAAACTCGTATGGATTCAACGTGCAACTTTATGTAATGCTGTACATCTAATCACTCGATATAGCCGTGTATGGCAACAAAAGAGAAGATTTAAAAGCCTAGTTTCGTCCAAAGTACCACGATTTCAAGGCCTGCAACGATTTCACTGGTCTTGCAGTGGCTGTCTTAGGGCAAGTACAATGGATACATAAACGCTCCTCAATCTGTCAAAAAAATGCGGGATTGAATTCGCATTATCTCCTAAAAAAAGGTAGGGCTATTGCTTCGAAGCTTGCTTCCCTGGAGTACAAATAAGCTTCTTAGAGGACGGAAATTTCAATGCATAAACAATTAAGCAGTCATTAACGAGTCAAGCACCAATCTGCTATATATTCATAAGTTACCTCGGATACTAATTTCGTTCCTTTTCTCAGAATGGGCTCTTTCCAAGTACGGAGAAATTAAGGCATCCAGTTTCACCAACCAAAGTGCAACTGAAGATGTTGTGTGGGGAATACATGCAAATGATGCAATGAGTTCTTCAGTAAAATTATAAGAACCATGCACAATATTGCCTTCATACAGACGGTCCTCATTGATGGCGCCAACAAAATCCGCAAGAACCTGCACGTACAAACAATAAAGAAGCTCATGGTTCAGACTAAATAATAGACAAAGATATATAATGTTGAAAAGTGAAGGATACGAAACCTGTAAAAGCTCAGCCAAAGATGAGGTACGTCTAAGCCGTTTCACCCATAGCTTATGAGCAGATTTTTTCCAAGCACCCAACAAAGCATCTTCAGGCATGACTGACTGCACGAAGCAGAGGGAGGTGAAGATCAGCAAAGCATGGAAAATAATTTAAAAGATTTGGGGCGTCTATAAATGTCTTCATTATACAATCCACAAAACATGTTGTGAGCATCAGACAATCAATATTTCAGGGCCAAAACCCACCAAAGAATAACCCCATTATTATTTGTGGGTTAGCTACCAGAGGCCCAAACAAACCAGAGTGGGCAGGAAGATACTATTTGATCATTCCGCTCCATTAGAGTGGTATACATCTTCCTCAGTTGCTTCTCAGTAACGCATGCTAAATTACTATTTTGGACTGTTTCCCTGCCATCCCTTCACATAAAATCTTATTGCACTTTAGCGAAGAAGTAATCAGATTTTGTCTTTTCTTTTCAAAGAAAAGCTATTGGATTAGATTGCACAAAAAATCTGAAGAGTCACATTCTAATTATCCAAGCCATATTCCTCGCTTGACCATCAAATGAAGTCTTATTTTCCTCCTGTCTAGGAATTAGCTTCAAATCTTCTTAACTCAAGGACATTTTCATTTCTCGACTACAACAACCATATATCAGAAAATGCAAAGCTAAAATCCAAATGACAGATTACCTCAATTGCATGCATTGCAGCTTTTAGTGATTGAATCTGTGATGAGAGGACCTTATGCTTAGGAAAAGTATCACTTGCTTCTTTCTCCTTACAAGTGGCTACATGTATGGCATACCTTTCTTCCAGATCAAAATGAAGTTCAAATGTTGTATGGCAAATCCTGCAGTGCTTCTCATCTTTCCAGTACAAATCATGACAACTTTCACATCTATGAAGTGTATCAAAATAGGATCGTTTACCAAGTTTAACAGCATTAAGTTCTAGGTAAAAGAAATTCCATAACCATGAATCAAATGCTTGGATCCGTTTCCATTTCTGTTTCTGTTCTTCTCCCTTTTTTGTAACTTCAAGAACCACAGCTCCAGATGAAGGTGGAGAACCATTCACAGTTCCAGATAAGTTGTCTACTTCAGATACTGGTGAATAAGTGTCTTCTCTAACATTATCCGGCTTAGATTGATCAGACTGTGCTAAGTTGTCAATTCTATCACTAGTTACCATTCTACTTGACATTGCCTGGCAAAGAAACGCTATCCGTTTCTCCACAGATTTGATAAGAAGGGCCTCTCGTTTACCCCTATCATCCAAAACTGACAATAAGGCATACAAAGCCTGCATTCGGTTTAACCAAAAGAAGTAAACATTAGAACTTATACAAGGTCAACCAACATGTACTAAAATCACATTGACCG